GTCATCAACTTCAATCGGAATTGAATCAAATTAGTTGAAAAATGTCTAAAGATGCCTTGTATGGCCCGAGGCTAGCTGAGTGAATATCAAAGGACATGGAAGACAAAAAGAAGTAAATTATTTAAACTGTGGACAGAGGATACTGAAAGCAAACGAAGACCTATTCGCAACAAATTGAGCTAAGAGCAACAGATTTCCATCAGATCTGACACTAAAATGCAGCTTGTAATCATAGCATATTTAAATAATAGCATTTTTTTTTTGCCGAACTACTCTCTGACTGGGAACATATCTGACTACACCTTCAATTTAATAGAATTGAGCTCTTTGACTTCGGTTGCTGTGCAAACAGAAGCCCCAACTACGACTCCAGCTCCAACTCGATGTTGGTAATGAAATATCTAACGACCGGAAGTCAATAGCAAATACTTAATAATGTTGTCGGCTTGGCCTGGCATTTTGTTGCGTTGCTTTGTGGTTGGTTGTTCGCCTTTGGCTGCCATTTGCCGTTGCTAATTTCCCTGGCTGGGGCAAAATTGCGTGTAGTTAGTTGCACGTCCTCCGACCTGTCGCGCGGTCACAATTAAAGATGTGCGAGAAAATGTTTTAATTGACTTAAAGGAACTTGCAGAAATTTAAGCAAACTACAAAAGTATCTCAACATGCAGTTAATTTCTTTTCAAAAACATAATTTGCTTTGAGTTTGTTTTAGGCCTGTTTTATACTGACCTGTGCCCCAAAGGGTCAACAGAATGTTAACCTCTGTCTTGTGCTACTTCTCAGAAGGTGTTCAATTCAATATTGATTCATTATTAAATTAAACAGCTTAAATAAACTTTCACATGCTTTGTTAACAGCTGGGAATTCATAATTTCCGGTTTTTATTTTTTGGGGATTTTCTCCCTCATTTGGCTTATTTATTTAAATTTTCGAAATTTGCAATATGCTCAAACATCTTCAATTTACGTTGAGTGCTGTGTTCAAATTCTGAGAAATTGCCAATCACTATAAATTGGACCTTAAATGAATTGGCAATCTTCCGTTATGTTAGATAACGATCACATTGCCGTTTATACAACCGGAAGTTAACTTGTTCACACGCGTGCCAAAATACACACAAGTAAATTGCTTCCACATGTGTTTATGCATATTTATTTATCATATCGAACACACAGAAGATGTATCGATAGATCTACTCATTTTACAACTGGATCGCATATTATGTTGGAGTCGTGTGCTTGTCTATGGCCTAATTACAACTTTGTTTCGGAAATGAGTTCGTTATTGGGCCCGTAGCGTGCCAAGTCTCTTGGCCTTATCATTCCGTTGATAAGCAATCTCATGCTGGTCGTACAAAAATAACCTGCACTAATAAATTTTTGCGAATACTCCATTTCCTTGATGGCCATTTCGACGCTGTGCGTTTTCTTGGAAATTTGATAAGCGTCATAAGCGTAAATTGCGCATTATTCACATAAAATAGAAACCAAAGATTAGAACTCAAATACTCAATTGACTCATTCAGAAGTGGGTGTATTGCAAGTTCATTTTTCAGGCTCAGATGCTTTTGCATAAAGAAAGTTCCATAACGGGAAGTTCTCTGGACTACGTGACATTTATAATGTACACCCAACTGGTCGAGTGATTGGGGATTGAGATTTTAGTTGCATCCATAGTTCATTTCGATGTAAGCTTAAGGCTTAGCGTAGGCAGGAAATGCACTGAATGCTGAACTTGTATGGCACGCGCGCACTAATACATGTTCAACTACTAAACACATGCATACATAGATTTGTTAATCTGTTGTGTTTGAATTTTCCCTCAGATGCCTTACAAGTTAGATTTCATACTCAGTTTGAAGACTATGTGAAGCTTTGCAAATCGAAAGCCCAATATTTAAATGTAACATTAAAGCTTTTCTAAGCACTTTGAGCTCGGCTTTCAACGAATTGTGACGAGAGGCTACCTTTCATTGATCGTGCAGCTTGCAACAACTTGATTGACCTAGTTTGGCGCGAAGAGCGAACAATGAACACCTCATAAATATAGATATGTGTGATTACCAACCGCATCCCAGCTCGCAGGCAAGTGAAGCTCTTACAGGTATCGGCCAGGAATGTGGCATAGACGGGGCATTAACACCCAAGTGCTTGGTGTGTGTGGCCCGGCTATGGAACTCCATCAAGATTTGTATGAGCCAGCCAGGCAGCCAGCCAGGGTATAATGAATTTCAGACACGCACAGACGTTTTGTAATTTAAAGTTGTAACTACTGCGTTTTAAAGAGCTTTTCCCTTTTGGCCAACTAGTCATAAGTCATAAGACATACATAAACATGTGCAATGTCAAATATGTGTACCTAGCCATGTGAGCTTGTGTCTGTGTGTGATAAGCAATTTGCTGAACACGCAGATGCGCCCACCTTGAAGGCCCTTTGTCCCTTCTTGCAGATACACTCATGCTTAGTTTTATAACTACATATATTTACATGTACATATGTACATGTTTTTTGTTTTTTTTTTTTGAGTGCTGCGGTGGGGTTTCCCCTTGCGTTTGTCGCCAATTATATGCGGTTTTGTGATAATGACCAAATGATCTCAGCGCCGCTGCCTGCTGCCCGCCGCGACGCCGCACGTAATTTCAATTCATTCATAGACTCGAAAACTCGACGCCGCATCAGGCGTTTGTTTCATTCATAAATTTACCTGGTCGCGTTGTCATAATAGCTCTATCTTATGGCCGTTGTTTTCCTTCTCTTTCTTCTCAATATACTCGTGCACTCGCACATAGTATATATGGTACTTATAATTTGTGCGAGTCGCTGCCGTCTACGTTTACGTCGTCGTCGCCGTCGCCGTCTTCGTTACCGTCTTCGTCGTCGTCTCGGTCTTCGTTTTGGCTCTCCTAGCCGTTTTGCTTTATCACATTCACATGCATTATTTACCACGGGCCTGCGTTCGATAGCGATACGAATAGGAGGCAAAGCAAACGGAAGCAGCGGAAGCGGCGACGCCGACGTCGATCATTGTTGTTTCTGCTGCTGCTGCTGCCGCTGTTGTTGTTGTTCTTCTTGTATATATTTTTGACGCAAAGAAAACGAGCCGACGTCGCTTCTTCTTCTCTTCTACAACTTCTTGTTGTTGTCTCATTGTCTGTTGCTGGAGTTTTTTGAGCGAGAATGCGCGTGGAAGGCAACATGAGAAATTCATTCATAAATTCGTTGTCGTTGCCGTTGTTGTTGCTGCTTGCCTGCACCAGGAGCCGCAACGTGTGAGTGAGGAAACTTGAGTAGGTTTGCCATATGTGAGTTGCATATATACACACGTATGCTTATGCATGTACATATGTGTGAATATATTGTAGCAGCTATTTTATAGCTGTTGGTCACCTGATCTTGATGGCCATTTAGCCAAAGTTCTGTTTCGCCAGAGAAAGGAAGAAAGACAGATAGAGACAGATAGAGAGAGAGCGCGATGGATGGCTAAAGCTTTTGAACTTTGCACACGCCTGCGGTTTGACTTTTGTGCACCTGTTACACCCTGTACGCAGTGTCACCTGTTGCCAGCCTTTGCCGCTTGCCTGTTTTTGTTTGTTATTTGCTTTGGCTTTCATTTGCGTTTTTTTCTCAGTGCTAAACAAACAGCTTGTTGTTGTGTTGTTTTACTAGGTGTAGCTGTTGCTCTTCTGTTGTTTCTTTTGTTGTTGTCGGCACGATGTGATGGCCGTTTCCGTTCCACTCACACATACACAAGCACACACACACACACATAAGCACACGCTCTCTCACTTATTACGCTCAGACAGTTTCGTTTGTGAATGAATTCCATTTCGTTTCGCCCAGCTCTGAGATTTATGATAGCGAGTACATATTTCAATTCCACTTGTTGCACGCGCCGCTCGCTCCCGCTCTCTCGCTCTCTGCGCGTGTGTTTGTGTCTCTCTGGCTCGTTTCTTCTCGTTGTTTAGGATACCCAACGGACGAGGCGATCGTTTCGTTTCAGTTTGGCTTCACAAATCCAGCAATCCAATAGATACACAGAGAACCGACCAGTTACAAAATTAATTTCAGTTTTGTTTTATTTTTGTGCATTGTGCAACGTGAATTTAACTTAAATAAATTTAAATAAATCTTATCGCTCTGTGCGCGTGTGTAAATGAGAGTGTGTGTCGTCTATCTAAAAAAAAAGAGCCTAACTGATAAGCTTAACACTTTTTGCCAAGGCAATAACCACATCATATAAGTTATGATGACTAATTAGCATTAAATGCCATCAATTTAAATGAATGTGCGCTGCAACAAAAGCAACAAAAGGCAAACCAAGCAAACATTTAGCACCCCAAGTGAAGTATCTTCGCAGCCCAATCACTAGATACATTTGTATCTACAAGATCATAGGCCGCGTCGTTAACGAAAGGGTCGCGACTTTCACTGACATTTCGGGTCAAATTTGTTGATGCTTTGATTTTAACGCCAATAAATTGAAAGCAATTGAATCCAACGATCGTTGTCTGCCCACCCTTCGTGAATGCTTGTGAATGCTACGAATGATCTTAAATTGGTTTGACTTTTGACATCCAAGAGCACAACAATACTTAACCCATAACAGCATATTCATTGGCCAGCTTAGATACACATAGAGTTGTAACTGCAAAATTATGACAAATGAATGGATCGATTGGAATGATTGTCGCATGTTGCCGCCACTGCGCTCAGCGAACTACAACAACAATAACAGCAACATCAACAGCAATCAAAACAACTACAACAACAATCACCAAACATTTCTGAGCAATAATTATCAATGCTTAACCAGTAAATTTCATTTAAAAGCCCACAAGTTGCAGCAATTGCACACGAGCAATGGCAGACTACGAGGTAATTAGGCAGATAATTATGTAGAGCAAGAGCATTAACTTTAAAATAGCTTTAAGTACCTGTATATATACATACAAGTGCTTTGCGTAATTAATTTATTTTATTTTCTTTTAAATCAATTGCAGATGTGCCCACAACATTGCCGCCCCTCACGCCTGGCACAAACCGGAAGGTAAACGAGGTTCTGAAAGCCTCATTTGCCTCCTGGGAAAAGGAGGTGCAAAACTGTAATATAACCAAAGGTAAGCTTCACAACAGCTCCAAAAATAAGCAAACAAAACATTCCCGAATCGAAAACACAATTCAATTCCCATGCACTTGTCTAAATTTCAATTGCTTGCATTGGCAACGCCAATAAAATAATAATTTACAAACAGTCCCATACAAAGACGTGATCATAAATGAATATTAATCGTTTCCCACAGCAATAGACTTAGAAATGAAATTTGGTTTACAGCGCTCCCACGCACAGCAACAACATATAACAACAATAAGAATACGAATAATAATAATTAATTAGGCAACCAATGAATGCGGCATTTGAAAAAGTAATTAATTCAATTACGTATGCCATTTGAAAACTATCTATTCCTTGCAGATCCCCGCGAATGGACGGAGGAGCATGTCATCTACTGGCTGAACTGGGCCAAAAATGAGTTCTCCCTGCTCTCCATGGACCTGGGGCCATTCTGCAAAATGACCGGCCGTGAAATGGTCGAGCTGGGCAAAGAGAAATTTCTGGCCATAACCCCGGCATTTACGGGCGACATTCTGTGGGAGCATTTGGATATACTACAAAAAGGTGAGCACGTGACTGGCATCAAACAGCAGCAGTTGGCGCCAGCCAACGATTAAGTCAATCAGTCGGTCTGTCAACCAGCCAGCAGTAAACCACAAAACTAAATACTGCCCTCGTGGTCTGTCACATTTATTGCATTTTTATACAGAATTATAAAATATTAAAGCAACACCTTTTATATGACTATCGAAAATTGGATTATCAATAGACTAGTTGCATAAATGAATTCAATAGCAATTAGTTCAGAGAATTTCCAGCATTTAAATGATTAATAGAAATTAATATGTAATCCCTTCTGACTGATTCGGATAAGGATACAATCCCTTAATCAGTCCTATTAAGAAATATGTAATTTTACTAATATGACTTTGGTTTTTTGTAATTTCGAGCATTGTTTATTATGTTTTTTGTTCACCAACATTCCATCAAATCACTTGAATTTTCACGATTTGTTAGAGCGTGGATTTTCAACGTGCTTTTTAACCCAATAAAAGCCCTTAGGCGCCAAACTAAGTTTACCTGGCCATAAAGTAGAACGCCAAATTGGCGAGTTGAGTTGACGGAAGTCTTCGGGCCAGTCGGGCGAACCGGGCTAACGAAATCAAGGACAAAATTTGCTTGTGGGGTGGCGGGGGCTTGATTGTTTGGTTGGTAGCGAACGGGTTCTTTATACCATTGCCTGTTGCTTCCTGTCCGGTCCGGGCCTGGTTCGGAATTAGATTTGGCTGAGGTCCTAGCCTCGTGCAACAACAAACGCCCCGTTAAATCAGCGGCAAGTGTAACAATTTTCTTTATTTATTTTTTTTTTTTTAATAATTTATTGAGTTTAAAAACCTAAAAAGCTTTTAGTTTGGGTCTATCCTAATAATGTAACGAAAATATTGTTTAACTAATTGAATTTCCTTTACGCAGATTGTGAAAAACCAAATGAGGATATTGTGCATGGGAATTCCTTTGAATCGGCCACCACCGCCTCGGTCTGTGGATCAGACCATCAGGTAGCCAATTACCCACCAACAACACCGGCCACGACGCCGGTCTCAAACAACAGCATTGCGAGTCGCCTGTCCATGGATTATGGCACAGCAACAGCGAGCAGTGATAAGAGCTTCCACCCAACGCCTGCCATGCCACACAGCGGTAAGCGAATGTTATCCATATCCAAATACAAATTAGATACTATATATCCATAAATAGGCCTCAGATTAATCGTATAATTAGTGTTAAATCAATGACAAGTGATGTTTGCTATTGCTCATGAATTGCGGGCCATTAAGGCATCAAAGTTGTTTATGGCACATCCTCCCATCAAATTTTAGGCGATACAAGTATCTATGTATCTGCGAGATAGTTTGGAATATGTTTGGTGCATCCGGCGGAATATTAATTTAGCAATAATTTGCCTAAGCAGCCAATCGAGGCACCTACGACCACGATTACGATTACGAACAACGATTACGATTATATATGGCAGCGATATCTGTCTGGCCAGCAATGGGCAGATCCAGATCTTTATTAATCGCCAATGCGGTATGCAATCCATTGAGTGTGGAGTGCGAGCTGTTTTATTTGTATTTTTGGATTGGCTTTTAATTTATTTATGTGAAATTGAAATTGAAACGGAAATTAAATTTTAAAACAAATAGCTAAATGTTGTCGGCGCTGCGACTGGCGCCAGCGTAGGCAGCCGGCGTCCACGTCGACAGCATATCTAAATATCTATTTAAATTGTTTACATATAAGGCAACATTCGAAACGAAACGAAACGAAACGGCGAAACCCCTCAGCACAGCTTGAGATACATTTATTAAATGCGTCGCCGTACAAATTGTAGCGACAGCGGCGCATCATTAATGCATTGTATCTGTATCTGTATCTGTAGCTGTAGCTGTATCTGCAGCAGCATCTTGCGCTTCATCTGCATCTGCTGAGCCCGTGTTAACATGATGTAGCGTGCGCCACATAAATTTATTAATATTCAAAACGCTGCCCACAACGAGTTACAGTTAGTCCACTCTCACAAGCTAATAGGGCTCAGTCGCTGCTGTTGACATTATAAAAAATTAATTGAATTTATGGCTTTGACACATTATGACCATAAATGTTATATTTCCATATACGCAGCCATAAGTGTGCACAGCTAATGAAATAATCAAGCAATTTGACAAAAAAAATAATTTATAATAAAATATTAAAGAATGGCACGACTGCTGCATACGCTTCCTTAAGCTGAGCTGCTGGCAAATGAAACTCAAGAAGCAACATATTGAAACAAGTGAAGAAACAGATAAATGTATATAATACTACGAATATTAGGCTTAAACTAAGTTTTGATGTACTAAATGGGCATCTGTTTGTATCTGTATCAAACGTTCTCATGCACTCGTGCAACTCTGCTGTTAGTTAGTTTATCCAAGCTAAAATCTACATTAATACTCAATCGAAAATCGTGTAGAGTGCGCGCGTTCTTAAATGCTTACTTTAGTCGCTGCGACTCAACGTCTTCAATTTGATTCAATAATTTCTATATGGACGCAGAGACCCTCTTTTATTTTTGTTCATCTGGCAGATCGCTGCGTTGCCCGTTGCCCGCATACAAATGATGTGATTCGGCTTGTCAACGAGCGGCGTTCAAGTCGGGTATGGTAAACCTCCTGCTGGTTTTGTAGGTTGTTTGCTTAATTCGTTTCGATTGTCTTTTTGTCAGTCATTAATTTGCTGCATTTACATATTATTGATGTTTTTAGCTGCCCCCTAAGCAGCCCCTCGCTCAGGTCCACTTTACGCATTTGCATACATGAATTTATGTACATGGATCCGTGAAGCTTTCAGATTGTGTGAAAACTGTTGGACTTGCTGGATATCTATACATATATATATATATATATATATATATATATATTTCTCTGGCTGGCACTCCAGCTCATGACTTGTTGACACTTTGACTCTAGCTGCAAGAATTGGCTCTCAGGGCCATGTCCTTAAGTGCACAGGCAATTATGTAAATGAAGACTTGATATTTATTTCATCCAGGTGTTCGTCTGGCGGATTTTAACTAGTTCGCTACTCGACATTTACAATTAAAAGCGACACTTGAACATGTCTTGAAAAATCATACAACCATTGAAAGTAAAACATGATTATGATTAATTGTGCCCATTAAAATTGAGTTTATGCCTTGCAAAGGTTTTCCAAATTTAACAGTCGAAGAACCAAGAAACAGTGTCATGAACGCCCAGCTACTAACTTGAATTTATTTTTATGGCTGTTTCTTTTTCTGCTGCTGCTGCTGTTGTTGTTGGTTTTGTTGTATTTTTTGTGTGTATTCTTTTGTAAAGTTTGTTTTAATTTGAGCTGCCGCTGCCCGCACCTAGAGCTCTAAACTGGCATCCAACAAATACAACACCTACAACCAAAGTCAGCCAAGCGCAAAAAAGTTGAAAATGCTTTGAGTTTCGTCATCGGGCAGCGATTTCTGAACACATATACCATGATATACGTATACATATACATATATATAATCCATAGTTAGGCATCCCCCTCCAAATCCCACCCGGCGAGCACGTCGAGTGATTTACAACTTTGTTGCATTCTGGAACGCATTACATTTAGGTGTTATGTGGCATACGGCATAGTTTTGCCTGAGCTCTTCACTTTCAATGTGCCTACTCTCATATATAGATAGATATTTTTCTTTCCATTTGATTTTCTTGAATCAATTTTCGCAGCTAACGCTTACTCATCACTTTGTGCAAAACGACCAGATACAATAACTCACAGATAGCTCACATATGATTACCAGTTAGGTATGTCTATGTGTATGTGTCTGTGTCTGTGTCTGTGTCTGTATGGACAGTCAGGGTCTTTGAATGTTTTGGTTGAGAGCGCATCTGGGCTAGTGTATCTTAGATATTTGCACGCAAAATTGTTTTTATTAGCGCTGCCTTCGTATTGTTCTCCCCGATACAATGCGATGCGACTTGAAATATGTGGTCAAGCCCATATGCTTGCTGGCTTAATTAGAAGCCCTTGGACCCAGCTAGATATAAGAAAGGCCATCTACCTTTCAACACCAGCCCAACGGACGGATCGGACCATTGTTAAACGCATATTTGCGAAAAATTTGTTCTATTTTCAGAGCTATTTATTTTTTTTTGTTTTTTTATTGTTTTTAGTTTTTATTCGCGTAGCATATATATATATATTTCTACACAATAAAATGCCTGATGCGTGAAATGTTTGTCCAAGCTTGAAGAGTTGCCATTGTTGCCGTTGTGTGGCTGTTGATTCATGTTCATCATCATCAGCAACAGCAGCAACAACAACAACAACAGCAACAACAACAACAACATGAACATCAAGCTGATGTCGGCATATAACCTCAGCCCAGGCAGCCAACCGATCAGACAGACCTGAGAGTCAGTCCGTCAGTTGGCCTGGTGAGTGCTCCACTCGCTTTTCAAATCGCTTGGCCATGCGAGTTGCGTCTTTGCTCGTGCCGCGCGTAGGTTGTTGCCTCACAAAATGACACATTTAATGCATATTTGACTTGTAGATACATTTGAGTGCGCATGCAGACGCCCCGCCCCGCCTTCTTCCACCTTCAACTACTCCACAGCAACGCCACGGGGTCAGAGTCAGAACTAACGCCTCTGATCGCCATATTGCGTGTCACACACTCAACGACAATTTCACACACACACACACTCACACATCTTCATATCTTGTAGTGAACTCTGGCGACGATCGCGAATATAAGTACAAGTACTCATGAGTGTATTTGTGACATTTGTGGAGTCTTGAGTGTGTGCCAAGCGTTTTAGTTTAGTTACAGTTTGTTAATTTTGAAAGCGACAATGGAATTCCTTGCATGTGACAGATCACACTTATTTACACACAGCTGTGCGTGTGTGTGTGTTTGCTAGTGTGTGTAGGCTTATAAAAAACTAAGATTAATATACTTTTAATTTGCACGCAAGAGACGACGTGTGAAAGTTTGGCTGAAAGTTGTAATTAAAGTCTAGAGATGCTCGTTAAATTAAGCAGCAAGTATATCAATCGATAAATCAATCGATAAATATAATAACCAAAACTAACCTAACTTGGGGATAAAATGTTTTAATAATAGTAATTCGAAACTTTAAATGACAAAGTTCAAAACATTTGATAATAGGACATTTCGAGACTATTAATTGAAATTTTAAAAAGAAGAACTTAAAAATGCTCTAGATATAGAGATTATTGATACGCATTACATATACATATATATATATGAGATCTATCCCTGATTAGCATACAATGTAAGTCTGTTAAAATGAATAACTTTTAGTGCCTTCCGCCTATTATTAATTACACTAAATTCAAACATTAACGCAAGACAATTTGCGCCTCCCACAAATTATGTGGCAACCAAGCAGAACATGGGGCCGGTCAAAAGACATTCACATTCAGCGCGATGGGGAGCTGAAAGAGAGAGAGTGAGAGAGTGAGAGAGTGAGAGTGTGAGAGAGAGAGATAGAGAGACAGCCAGCTAATAGACGAACCACGCACCATGGCCAAAATAGAGCACATAAAACCCTTAAGTCATAACATCTACGACTTGAAATTATGTTGATTGCAAATTTGTTAAGGTCATAAAATTAAATTTCGTTTTTAATTTTAACGCCATTGTTGCTGCAGTGAAGCAAAAAAAAGGAGAGAAAAGAAAAACAGAAAGAAAATTAACTACTGGGCCATCCAGAAGTTAGCAACTGGCATCAGGCATATTATTATAGCATTTAGCGGAATTTAATGCGCCCACTTCACTCCGTGGCAGAGGCTACACTTAGAAGAATACCTAGCATATTAATCATACTCGGCGCAACAATGGTTAGAGCCAACTCGGGGGCCTTCAGGCCAGAAATCACATTGCTGCTAATTAACATAGTCGCAGCGCAGTTGATTGTTGAAGCCAAAGATTTGTACTACGCGCCTGCGCGCTTCGTTGGTCAACTATTGGTGGTGCTGCTGGTGGTGCTGCTGCTGCTGGTGGTGCTGCTGCTGGTGGTGGCAGAGCGCGCCAAGCTGTGAAAAGTCAAGTGAACGGTTCAGCTTAATGGTATTTTCTGTGTATGTTTTTTTTTAGCATGGTTCAAAAGCCG